AGTGCTGACCAGACCCCGTGGGCCTTCCAAGATGTCCCCTGTAGGGACTGGGGCCACGGGGCCCTCTAACCTGGGCGATGCGGGGCTGGGAGGGGACCTGCTGCACGGATGCCCTTCACCTGTGGGGAACCATGAGCCCGTTGATAAATGCCAGGGCTTTTGGGGTGGGTTTTCCATTCTCCAAATGGCTCTGGGTGGCTCCGGGTCACAGCCTGCCATGGACTGACAGCCGTGGGTGGGCTGAGAATGTGCTGCACTCATCACACCCATGGGCTGGAACGGTGCCGCAGGCTCTGACATGCAGCCCCAAAACCAGGGCTCAAGGGAAACTGGGTGATTTGAAGAGCCCCTCAAGGTTCGGGTTCCCTGCTGGCAGCTTTGCCCACCCCTGGCAAGGAGGAACCCCCGCTGCTGCTGGCCAGGCATGTCCCTGCCCACACTGCCCGACCCACGGCGTGCCTCCAGCGACGTGGTGACAGATATCCTCCTCCCACTGTGACGAGGCCACATCCTTCACGAATACCTCCTCTGGCCTTTCCGTGGGGAAGCAAGAAGTGGATCCTGCTGGAAAAAACCACCCCCAAGCCCCCAGTCCTTGACCCTCGGAGGCGGGGGGGAGGCAGAGGCTCCGCTCTCCTCGCCAGTGGGTGACAGCAGCCCCCCTCCAGGCTCCTGCCCAAGCTGGGGCTCTGCAGGAAGGTGACAGAGGGTCCCCCCAACTGTTCCTGGGTGCTGGAGCCTCCAGCCAGCTCTGCTCACGTCCGACTAAAAGACACCATGAGTAAGAAAAAGGAAAGCACCTGGTTCTTCCCCGGGCAGAGCGGAGTGCCCGCTGTTCCCTACCACTTCAGGAAGTCCCGCACGCAGCTCCATAGCTTGGTGATCCAGAGGTTGACCCCCAGGTCAGTCAGGTACTGGATTTCGGGTGTCAGCATCTTGCGGCACAGCTTCTGGTGCTTCTTGTTGATCTTCTTCTTCAAGTTGTAGCCCAGAATGGACTTCTCCCCCAGCGGTTGCCAGGGTTGCATGGAGGACTCTTGGATGGCACTGGCATCCACGGGGTGTCCCCCATCGATGCAGATGCTCTTCATCTTCTCGTTCTCCCGCTGCAGCTCTGCCACGTCCTTGGCCATCTGCTCCCTCCCGTAGGCCTCCACCTTACGCCAGAAAGTGGCATTAAAATATCGGTAGAGCTTGGCGTCGATGAGGTTCCAGGAGGTGGCCTTCTCATAGAGCTCAGGTGTCAGCCGGGAGACGGTGGAGCCCTTCCGGGCGTTGAGCTTGAAGTAGAGGACATCCTCCAGCTGCCAGCACAGCAGGTCCTTCAGCAGCACCAGGGACTCGTCAAAGTACTCGAGCAACATGACGAGGTGGAAACGGCGATCTATCTCCTGGATGTGCTCCTCCACCAGTGGGCTGTTGGCGTTCATGTTGTTGTCATAGCCCAAGTCAAAGAAGAGGAGGTTTTGGAGGTAGTGAGCGTTGAACCCATTGGGGTCGTAGTAGTGCCAGGGGTCCCGGAGGAACTCCGCCAGCTTGTCCTCCCCTGTCAGCTTCCAGGTGAGGGGGATGACGCGCCCAAAGTAGTGGAAAGAGGACTCGAAGAGGTAGGCGGGATCCCGCAGCACCGTCACGAAGGTGGCGTCCGCTGGCAGGAGCTCGCGCACCTCCTCGTAGTGGAAGCGCATGTGGTTGCAGATGATGTTGAAGCACGCGCCCGGCCGGTAGTGCTGCACCTGACTGCGCTCGAAGAAGGAGGGGTAGTAGAAGTCGTTGCGGCCATTGGGGAAGGCGAATTTCAAGCGATGCTTCTCCCCGAAGCGGAAGAGGATATTCAGGATGGTGCTGCTGGCTGTCTTGTGCGTCTTCATGAACATGATGTTCAGCTTGGGCATGCAGCTCCATCCCGAGGGGCTGCCCGTGCCGTTGGCCACTGCTGGCACCTTGCCGGGGGCCAGGTAGGAGGAGCAGGAGGAGGGGACGGGAATCCTGGTGGGGAGAAGAGCCAGGACACCACGGTGAGGGCAGCTCGGCCAATGTGGCCCAGCCACCATGAAGGCTCAGCCATTTTCCTTCCTGGAGGAGCTGGAGCTGGGAATGGGTGCTGGACCTGGGGATGGGTGCTCGCCCCAGGGATGGGTGCTCACCCCAGCACCCCCCCAGGCTCCCCGGCGGAGATGAGCCCGGCTTTGGGCAGAGCCCCTTCACCCCCAGCCACGTGCCCAGCAGGACTGGGGCACCCACCTGGCAGGAGCCCCTCGGTGAGCAGGGCAGAGCCCACCACCCCCACAAGCCCCCTGACATCAGATGCACCTCCAAGCCGCCAAAGCAAGCTTATTCACCCCCTGGACATCCCCAGCCACCGAGGATGCACTGCTACAGAGGTCTTCACGGTGGTCAGCCCCCATCAGCCCCAGGGGAGCCCGAGCAGGGAGTCCCCATCCCTCCCCACAGGCACGGTCATGGTGGCCCTGGTGCAGGTGATGCTGAGACGTGCACCGACACGAGCTCTCCATGGCTGTAATTCCATGGACAGACACTCACTGATAACATTCTTGCGAGATCCGGAAGCTCTCAACCCCTTGTAGGGGTCGTAGAGGATCCAGCACCCCAGGAAAGAGGGAAAGAATCGTAGTGCAGGGCCCCGCAGACGAGCTCGTGGGCCCTCGGGGAGCACCGAGGACAACTTGGGTGTTATCTGAGATGCCCGGAGCAGGGAACAGAGACCCCAGTGTCGAGTGACTTTGGACACTGTTAAAGAAGTTGCAAAGCTGATCCTTGATAACGATCCCATGTGGCAGTACGGGTCGGCTTATGAAACACCTGCAGGCGGATCTCATTTATATGCTTAGAGATAAATTTAATGCCAGGAGGGATGGCCAGGAGCTGAGCGCTGCTGAGCGCTGGCTTTTGCCATGACAGGCAGCAGAGAGCTTTGAGCCTACCCCTGCCCATCTCTATGGGCGAGACTTTACATGTGGCAGCACTCTGGCAGCTCTTGATGAACAAGCCCTTGACAAAGAGCGCCCGAATAACTGCCTCTGCTCTGCCCGCAGCTCCTGGCTGCTGGGACCATCTCCCGTGATGCTTTTTCTCCTCCCAGGGGACACGAAGCTGCGGTGGGCAGGGTGTCTCCTGCACCTCCTCATCCTCTCCATCGCCCAGGACCTGAGTGCTGGCTGCAATTTTGCAGCAGGTCCCCCCGGGGTGAGTGCCCTCCGCCCCCCCAGGGAGTTGGGGTTCACCTTCCCCCCCACCCATGGGACAGGGCAGTCTCCAACAGGAGGCTGTAGGAAGGGGACATCCCGGTGTGAAGCCACCAGAGCCTGGAAAGCCCCGGGACCCTCTTCGGTTGCGGGTGCCTGGTGCCAGGGTGGCCAAGCTGCCAGGGGAGACACGGGGGGACCCCACACTCACTCTGTCACGCTGACTTGCAGTGGGGGGACGGCGTAGGAGTAGAGCAGCAGCATGAAGCTGGTCAGGAGGGTCCCCAGGATGAGCCCCTTGCACATGGACCTCCAGTGCTTCCCATGGTTCAGCATCCTGGTCACCTGCAGCCGGCGGAGAGGAGAGCCGTTAGCACCACGGGACGGGGAAGCACGGACCGGCGGGTCTGTGACTCAAATCAGAAGCAAATAAGGCACGGGCACGGGAAGTCCTGGGAAGCATGTCACCGGGCTTTTCGGCGCTGGCACCACCGGGAGAGAGGTGAGCCAGGACCGGGTGTGTCTCCAGCTGTGGGCACAATGGACTCGTGGCCAAAGAGCAGCGCTCTGCCTGCCCTGCGCACCCTTTGCCTG